ATGAGGTGGTGGCTGTGGCCAGCATGAACTACGACCCGATCGTCTCCAAGGTGGCTGAGGTCCTGGCTGCTGGCAGGACCATCCGGAAGCGCGATGTGGAGTAAGTAGACACATAGCGGAAACTGGCAGTGCCAGGTCAGCAGCAAATCACAGCCAGGGGTGCAGGGCAGGGCTGAGCACCCAAAGGCAGCTCTTTCCTGCTGCCCCCTCTGTATATCCTTGCATCTCCCTTCCTGTTCTGCTTACTCCGTCCCCCTCAGTGCTGCCTCCCATCTTCCTCCAGCTTCCTCTGGCATCCTGCACATGTGGGGTTTGTCTTAAACACCAGGACCCAAATCCTTGCACGGATTGCATGGGAGGGGGATACTCACTGCCTTTGGGCACCGGCACATCACCAAGGAAGCACTGCCTGATAATGGGGTGCCCCTGGGCACCCAGTCAGTCAAGGGCATCTACAGAGAGGGGCTGAGTGTGAAGCCTGTGCTCAACCCTCTATGCACAACCCAGCCCAGAGAGCTGGTGGTACCAGGATGCTGGCCTGTGGTGTCTCAGCCTCCAGTTCCTTGGAGTGGAGCTCATAGGCAGGGGGCATTTTTCTCATTCACTTTGTTTTTAAGACCTTGCAGAGGAAAGAGTATAGCCCTTTGTGCTGAGGGTGGGTGCTGGAAGGCAAATGCCAGGGAGGTGGTAACAGCTGGGAAGAAGACTTTAGAGTAGGAACCAAAGCTGCTGAGGGAATGTGGGTTCCTGTTTCAGGGATGTTTCCACATGTGGAATAAAAGCAGATCTTTTCAAAAGCTCAGGGAGAGGAGCACTCCCGGCCCCCAGGCAGGTCTGAACCAGCTCAGACTCCCTGGGCACCTCTGGGATGGGGAGAATGTCACACGTCCACCTAGTGGAGATAGGGTTCAGAAAATCACAGGATGGTTTGGATTGGAAAGAACCTTAAAGACCATCCCATCCCACCCCCTGCCTTGGGCAGGGACACCTTTCACTAGACCAGGTTGCTCCAAGCCCTGTCCAGCCTGGCCTTGAACACTTGCAGGAATGGGGTAGCCACAGCTTCTCTGGGTAACCTATGCCAAGGCCTCACCACCCTCACAGGGAAGGATTTCTTGTGCTGTAATCCCCAGTACGTTGGGAAATGGTTGCTGGCTGGGAAGGAGGTGGTATCTCATGGGCATCCCAGTGGGGAGTGGAAGCAGGCTTGGGGGCCTGGTGGAAACCAGACCACCTAAACCTGAATGTCTTTTCTCTCTCTATCTCCTACTGCTTTCACAACTTCAGGCTGTTTGTCCGTCATGGCAAGTACGTTCGATTTGGGGTCCTGGGTGTGCTGGGTGTGGGGGGCTGGCAGGAGGGCCAGCCAGCCACCTGATTGGGCCATATCCCTAATTCCCACCTGGGACACTGATTACATTGTGGGCATCCATGTTTTGCATCCCCCTCACAGGGGGGCGATGCTGCTGTGCTGGGTGGTAGGGCTGGAGGTGCCAGGAGCCACATCAGGCATAGATCTGCTGGGACTGGGCAGCTGCCTGTTGGTTGGGACCATGCTTTGCTGGGGGTTTGGTAGCTTTCCATGAATTTTCAGCTGAATGCCAGGAGGGCTGGGTTTAAGTAAAAAACAAAAATGTTTTAGCTCTGTTTTACATGGAATTGAGGATCTGCACGGACTTTTTGGACAGTTTAATGACATGTGAATGAGGGCAGAGGAAGGGCACAGCACAGCAGGGTGGGGGGATGGACACCAATGACCAATGTCTGGACTTAGCACCAAGACAGCATCGAGAGCTGCACATGCTGAGTAACACCCCATCTGGTTTTTCCCTCTTTTAGAACCGGAGACATGTCCTGGCTAACAGGGAAAGGCTCCTAATACTGCTGGTGGCTGTGCCGTCCTGATGCTGCACTTGCTGTGGGGAGACAGGACAGCAGCTCCACAACCCGGTGGGAAACCCATGGCTCAGCCATTTCCCTTTGAGACCTGGATGAACCCATGCCTGACACTGTGCACTGACCTTCCCAGGAGGACCTCCCATGGCACCTCTGCCCCGGTGCTTGCTGGGCTAGGGCTCTGTTATTGCAATTCCCATGGGACTGGAAAAGCAGCCCTCAGAGACTGTGGGGTTTGGCTGTGGCAATGGGCATTGGTGCCATGTGGCTCCAGATGCTGCCATTGGGCTGAGGGTCTCCAGGCGGATCTGCCCCATGCACGTCCCTCACCTCTGTAACCAGCATGAGTGCCTTTGGGTGCTCCTGTGCTTTCATGCATGATGCTCCTTCCCAAATTCTCTTCGCTCCCAGCACAGTTCTGATGTGCATCCCCACAGAGCCTGACATCTGCTCCCTCCTTGCTTGGCTGCAGGGTTTGCCACGGCTCTGCCTGTGCTCACCCACTCTAGGGGGCATCTGGGTGGGCCAGGAGGTGGGGTCACACCGGGGGGTCTCTGTTCAGCCTGTGATTGTGTGGTCCAGGCTGGTCCTGCCCAGTCTCCCCCAGCAGAGGTGGGTCCCTGCCCATGCTGAGGGCTATGGAGCTCATTGGTCCCATCCCAGCACCTGCAGCTCTTGGTCCATCCCCAGGGTATGGAGCAGGAGTCCCTGGAGAGCTGGGAAAGCAGCTCAGCTGCAGCCTTTGTCTTGGTGGCCACCCTTCCAGCCAGCCTTGGGATGTCTCTCCTTGATGACATCATGGGATTGGTGCTGCTGCTGCTGAGGCGTTACTTGAGGAAAAGTAGCCGGAGGAGCCGTCCATCGTCTGTCACTTGTCTGTCTTGCCGTCTAGTGACAAGGCTGCATTTCTCAGCCCACCATGCAAGTGCTCTGCTGTCCTGTTTCTTGCCCTTGCTGAAGAAGAGCTGTGTCTCCAGCTCGGGAGTGGACCTGACCAGCCACAGCCCTGTGTCTGTCAACCCAACAGAGTGGGAGGGTGAGGATCTCCTCAGAGAGTTTCCAGTGCTTTGTCCTGGGGGCGACTCCTTCCCCAGCAGTCAGTGTTTTACCCTGAGTCCAAAACAAGAGGATTTATATTTTTAGTTTGATTAGCCCCCTATGAATTAAAGCAATACTATTCTTGGGATCTGGGTAATTTCTGATTCCTTCCAAGACCTTGGGTCAACTCTGCAGGTTCACCAGGGGATTCAAGTACCTCTTCTCTGGAGGCTTCCCACCTGTGTCCATCTCACCTGTTATTTATTTCCAGTCTTTCAGATCTTGGCTGGATAGAAATGTTACCAGTGTCTGTCACATCTCTGATTTGTCTCTCTGGTTTCACTGCAAGGCTTTTCCCAGGCGGAATGACCAGGGGGGAGGTAGGCAGGATGTGCAGGCTCCAGCACACAGCAATGAACAGGGACCATTGTGTGTCTGCTGGATCCACAAAAGATGGACATTTCCACTCTGCAGTGGTGTGGGATGGTGTTGAACCTGGGAGCCCTTGTCCAGTGCCTCGGCAAATGCTTCCCGGTGGTGAGCCTGTCCTGGAGCTGGGCAAGGCTGGGTTGTCTTCTCTGCCACCTCTCCAGGCACATCTTGCAACCTCTCATACCAGGACAGAAAGTTTCCATCTCTTCTTACAAAACTGCCCGTTCCCATGAGGAATGAGAATCCAGCTGGGGCACAGGCAGCTTGTTAGTGACCCCCAGCTGCATTGCCCCATCACAGTTACTTTCACCAGACTGCCGAGGTATCTTCTTGGTTGCTCACCCTGCTTGCCTGTGCAGATGTGAGCTCTCCAGCAGCTCCTGCTCCTTAGATACTGGGCTGTGCCTGTTGCCCTGCCCATGTCTTGCCCTATGTGCTGGCAGGACCCCTGGGTAGACATATGTTGGGCACAGCACGCCTGGGGCTTTGCCTCTACTCCACTGAGGTGAGAGCCCACCTGGAGTATTGCATCCAGCTCTGGGGTCCTCAGCAGAGGACGGACATGGATCTGCTGGAGCAAGTCTAGAGGAGGCCATAGAGATGCTCTGAGGGCTGGAGCCCCTCTGCTCTGGAGCCAGGCTGGGAGAGCTGGGGGTATTTCACCTGGAGAAGAGAAGGCTCCAGGGAGACCTGAGAGCCCCTTCCAGTGCCTAAAGGGGTTCCAAGAAAGCTGGAGAGGGACTATGAACAACAGCCTGGAGTGACAGGATAAGGGGGAATGGCTTCCCACTGCCAGAGGGCAGGGTTAGATGGGATATTGGGAAGGAATTCTTCCCTGTGAGGGTGGGGAGGCCCTGGCCCAGGTTGGCCAGAGCAGCTGTGGCTGCCCCATCCCTGGAAGTGTCCAAGGCTGGGTTGGATGGGGCTTGGAGCAACCTGGGCTAGTGGAAGGTGTCCCTGCCCACAGCAGGGGGTGGAACAAGATGGTCTTAAAGGTCCCTTCCAACCCAAACAAGTCTGTGTTTCTATGATCCGATGACTTCAGTCAGTCAGGCATTGGTCTACTACACTTTCAGCCCCGGATGGTTTGTTTTTGGCAGCATATGGCAGGGAGCTCTGCAATTTCATTTTGGCTTTATCAAGCAGAAGAATCCTCTCTTTCTTTGGTTTCTTGTGTCCCTTGCCAGTGCCTGGCCCTCAAAGACCACATTTGCAGCATTCACTCCCACTATTTGAGGCAGCTTCTCTGATATGCCTTATGGGGTGGGTTGGAGGCTGAAGATCATGAAATGAGACCACATCTGTTGGGTAGGACTAACAGAGCATGTCCAGAGAAGGGTAACCGAGCTGTGCAAGGGTCTGGAGTACAAGTCTGATGAGGAGTGGCTGAGAGAGCTGGGGGTGCTCAGCCCAGAGAAAAGGAGGCTCACAGGTGACCTTCTTGCTGTCTCCAGCTCCATGAAAGGAGAGTGGAGCCAGATGGTGGTCAGGCTCTGCTCCCCAATAACAACTGGCCAGGTGAGAGGAAATGGCCTCAGGTTGCACCAGGGGATGCTTAGGTTGGATATTAGGGAAAATTTCTTTATGGAAAGGGTTGTCCAGCCCTTTCACAGGCTGCCCAGGGCAGTGGTGAAGCCTCCATCCCTGGAAGTGTTAAAAAAATGTGTAGATGTTGGACTTGGGGACGTGGTTTAGTGGGATACCTGGCAGTGCAGGGTTAATTGGTTGCACTTATTGGTCTTAGAGGACTTTTCCAACCTTAATGATTCTGTTATTTTAAATTTCAAGTCCCTGCAGTGCCATCTCCTTTCCCTGCCATTCACCTCTGGCTCAACCAACCCCTCACACACCATCCCCCACTGTCTGAGCCTGGATGGAGTCTTGGGACACTGAGCAGCGTGGAGGTCTACAAGGGCAGCCTGTTAGCAGGGCAGCCTGTTAGCAGGGGAGATCACGGGGATGGGTAAATGCTCCATGAGCCTGGAGGCCTTGAAGAAGCATTACAGGCGAAGAGCATCATTCTTTTGTGTGGCATCCTCCTCTGTCAGGGCGCTTTGAGCAGTAATTACGCTGATATAGCCTGGCTGGGAGAGGGTGCAGTTGATTAGTTTACCACTGTGTCCCTGTCATGGTGATGGTTACAACCTGCTGCTCACCCCCTAAAGGTACTGTGGAGGGGAGATGCTTTTGACTTGCGACTCCTTTGCAACTCCACCCTGTGATTGCCATGTAGGCTTGATGTTCCAAGGTGGCAGTTCTTCCCCACATCCCCCTCCCAGCTCAGTAGCCCTGTTCCCAGCGAGCCAATGGCCAGGTGGCCCTGCGCATTAGCCTGACCTGTCATCCCACTGATTCCCTCCTAGCTAATCCTGGCTGAGCCGGGCTGGGGTGAGCAGGGCTCAGCTGTCAGCCATGGCTGCGCACACCCCGCTGCCCCCCAACCTGCGCCGGGGCTTGGTGGCGTTCAGCGGCTCCCTCTTCATCACCAATAAGACACAGGATAGCGGCACTGCCCACATCTACCAGCCAGGTATGGGCAGTGGGACTCTGCGGAGGGGGATTTGGGGAGGGAGTTATCACCACGAGCATGCTCAGCACATCACCAAAGCACCTGGGTGCCTCAGAGCCAGGAGCACCCCAAGGAGGGGAGCAAAAATAAGAACATTTGCTGCAAAGAGCTGTTTGTGGTACCCAAGGGCTATTGCTCCACTCCATGAGCTGCAAGTGGGGGTCCCTCTGAATAGGGGGACACCAGAGTTGCTGAGCAGCCTGCCCACCCCTGCCCATCCTGCCTAGCCCACGAGGTGCTGGCCAGCCTGCCCCTCCAGGTGATGCTCTACTTCAACGTCTACTACTTCCCCGTCTGGTGCCTGGCTGAGGGAATGATGCTGCAGCTGAAGGTACTGTCCCACGGGGCACATGGGGAGGGGGGAGTTGCTCCTGCCCAGCCTCCCTTGTCATAGGGGAGGAACAGTGAACAGGGGACAGGGGAGCCTCTTCAGAATTAACGGGTCTCCAAAATGGCCTGAGCCCCATGAGACAAGATGGCTCATCTCTGGCTGCCAGAAATGGAAATCATGAACTTTCCAGGCAGGAAAGGCTAAACTGGGAGAGAAAAGTGGGCAGAGCTGAGCACCAGCCTGGCGGAAGCTGGCAGAGAATGGAACACTGGGTATGGGGAGGAGGGCCCAGGCACTGGGCATGGGGTGCAGGGGACAGGGCAAATGGGATGAGAGAAGGGCACAGGTATCTGGGAATTGAGTGCAGGGAATGGTGCACAGGGGATGGGAAACTGGGCATGGACAGCTGGACTGGGGTGCAGGGGCTGGAGCTGACTGGGACAAGGCTGTGCCCCCATTTACAGTACCACCTCCTGCCTTGGCACTACCAGTTCCTGCTGGTCACAGCCTTCCTCATTCTCTCGCTGGCTGAGAGCTCCCGACTCTACCTGGGCTACCTGGGCAATCTCCAGGAGAAGGTAAACACCACCTGCCCTGGCACACAAACCCCTTATACTCAGTGAGGGTCAGCCCAGCTGGGGGAGCTTGATGGCCCCTCACTTGGAACCCAAGTGCCCATCACTGCCCCTTCCTCCTGGAGTTCTGCCTGGAGTTGTCCCAGAAGGGAATGATGGGTGCAGGCAGGACCTGAAGGCAGGAGACAAAGGAGATCCACTCGCCCTCCTGCTGTATCCTTCCTGTGGGTGCAACCCTCCAGCACTGGGTTTGACAGCATCTCACCACATCCGACCACAGCTCTGCGTGGCAAGGACGTCCCCGATACCTGGGTGCCAAGGCTGGCAGTGATGCAGGGAGCTCCTGGGTCACAGAGGGTCCCCCCACCCCACCGCTGCCTCCTTATCCCATCTCAGCAGGTTCTGCTCCTGCAGGTGCCTGAGCTGGCTGGGTTCCTGCTACTCTCCTTCCTGATCCAGCTGCCCCTCCTGCTCTTCCTGCTGACAGACAGCCAGGTCATTCACTTGCCACTGGAGATGCCCATGCACAGCCTGTTCCTGGCCTTCCTCCTCGCCGAGATTGTGGCTGCCTTCCTGGCGCTGAAGACCATGACCAAGCAGCTGGCGGCACAGTTCTACCTGCAGCATTTCCAAGAGGGCAGGAGGGGCCGGCCAGGGGGCACAGGGGGGCAGGCAGCTGAGGTGGGGTGATGCTGCAGGACCCCTCCAAACCATGCAGTCAGTCCCGGTAGGGAACATTAAATGGTGCTTGAACCCACAGACACTGTGTTTTTGAGCCTTGTGGAGTTCAGAGAGCAGTCCCTGGGCACGGACCCGGACAAACCCTGCCCTGCACCAGGCTGATACAGCCCGAGGCAGGTGGGAATGAGGGATCAGCCCCTCTGAAACACTCCGGCTTGCCCCAGGGCTGTGCCTGTCCTTGCTGAGCATCAGCCCTGGCAGGAGGCAGAAACTGGGGGTGCAGAAGCCACTGCACCCCCCAGGAAGTACCAGCTCAGGGCTGGAGCCTTAAACTGGGCTCTTAAATCCTCTCTGAGCTTCCCAGGGATCTCCTGAGGATCTGGGCAGCTCACATGAAGCCATCCCAGCTGGAAGCATGCAGGTGCTGCGAGGTGCGAGAGCAGCATCCCAAAACTTGACAGCCACTCGCAGAGACAGAGCAGAGCCACCTCCCACTTTTGGAACAGCTTTATTCCATTGCATCTCTGGTTTTCATGGGAAATCAAAGCCCACAGCCATCAGAATGTGGAGAAACATAAAGTGCTTTAAGCCTCTTTTGCCCAGCACAGCTCTGCTCCGGCACCAGTTATCAGTGCTGGGAGTGGCAGCTGAGATGGCTTTGTGTTCCAAGAGCCAAGAACTGCTGCTGCTGCTGCCAATGTTTCTCCAGGAAAGGCAGACCTTAACCCCAGCAGTGCACACCTGGGCCAGGACTGGCCCACCTCCACCTGGGCCGCAGCCATGCCCCCATCATGTCTACCTGGAGGTGGCTCCGGAGGGAAGGGTGCTTGTGGTGGAGCATTCCCGATGTCCATAAGCTGAGGCCTCGGGCTTACCTTTAGGGGGGTTTGCCTAAAAAAATGAACAGGGGTAACAGTACAACAGGCACGGGGATGGCCCAGGTGGACCTGCACTGCTCTCCTTGGTCGCATGAGAACAGATTCACTCTCTAAGACTCCCACTCCGCTCCTGATTTGAGATCTGGCATGAGGAACATTCTCCACCAGCAGGATGCTGCAGCCCTGGGGCAGTTCACCAGGAGCTGGTGGATCTCAGTCCTCAGAAGCTCCAAAGACTTGGCCAGAAAAAGCTGGAGATGAACTGAGGCAGGGCTGGCAGCTCTCCTGCTCTGTGGGGGCCTCCCTGTGACTCACTGATTCACCAAGGAAGTGAATTCCCACAGCAGGAATCATGTGAGGCATGAAAATCTGTCACTGAACTGCAGCACAGGATGTGCTTTGAAGAGCTGCCCTCTCTCTGCATGGAGTCCAGCCAGATTCCCTTTGGAAGAAGAATAAGTGTGGAGCTGGGTCACATTTCCAGGTAAGGTCCCCATGGGGACCCCTTGTTGTCCAACAGGAACTGAGGTTGTGATGCAACCTGAGTCCTGGTACCAGCTGCATCCCTCTCCCAGTTCAGACCAGCCATCAAGCCCAAAAGCTGGAGACTAAGAGCTGCTCCACCAGGATCTTCCCAGATCTTGTGAACTGAGTTTTAACCAAGGGGCAGAAAATCATAAAATTATTCACTCCAAAAACCTTCACTCCAACCTTCTCTCTCCCATGTGGTCCCACCCTTACCTCCTCGAACTTCTCCTTCCAATACAGGTCAGCCTTTGCATCCAGGTAGAGCAGAACTAGGTCACAGACCACTGTAGCCTGGAGACAGACAGATGTTGAAGACTGTACGCAGGGAAACTTCCCACTGGAATGTCTAGCCCTCCACCCTGGCTCCCACTGAGCCCTGCAGCTGGCTGTGGGCCAGTGCTGAGGGCAGCGAGCCGGCCCTGCCTCTGGCCAGGTCACCTGCCAACTCCAATGGCTCCTCTCTGACCCAACAGGCTCCCATGAGCTGCACAGGAGGTCAGACAGGATCACCTGGGCTGCAATGGATGGACACAGGGAGTGCTCTTCCAGTGCCCTCACAGCTGTGTATGGACTGGGATGAGCATGTTAGGGACGAAAGAGGGGGCAGGTGGGGGACCTCAGGCTCCCTTCCAGTTACCTGCTGGAAGGGATGAGCCATATAAGGGCTCTATGAGGAGCTGCCCCATCTGGTGACAGGACACCAGGTCACTTTAGAGTCAGGGGAGAAGCAGAGAGAGGAGCTGCTCTCCCCTACCAGCAGCATCCCAGCGATGCTCCTTCCCAGGGCCCACACAAACACCCGGCCTCCGCGAGACATGACCCTGACAGTGCTCAGGATCCCAGTGCTGTCATTACTGCTAATGGTCACAGGGAAACGGGAGCTGACACCCTGCCAGACCATCTCCTGTTCACACTGACTGGCACCCAGGAAGCCTTGTGCCCAGGCAGGCAGGGAAACAACTGATGACCGCAAATCCCAAGCCATGGATTGAAGGAAAAGAGCGTATCTGGAGTACTCACAGCACCAAAGAAGGCAATGCTTGTGCCGAAGCTCACGGCAGTAGGAATGATGCTGAACTTCCCAGCCTGGTGAGAAATAGTGGAGAGGGAAGACAGTGGGTAGAGAGTGATGAGAGGGGTGTGGGCTGTGGGGCGGTGTGCTTAAAGTTGTGTAACATGGAGTCTTTATATGATAAAGAAATGGAGTCTGCTCCCTGATCAGATGGTAATCAGCACCCTTTTTATCCCTTAAAACCATGTGACCTTGTGACCAATGGGGTTGTCTATTTCGGTGCATGTCCCCTGGGCTTCCCTGCCCTTGGTGCGTCCCCTGCACTCCTGGACATGCCTCCTACAAAGTTGGGGTGTGCAGGAGGGATCCAGGAACATTTCTCCATGCCCAACTCTAGGAATTGCTGTTGCACTGACTCCAAGCCCCTTTGGCTGTCAAAGAAGGAACTGACAGCTGGTGACCTAGTGGCAGCAGAAGTTACTGTGACCCACCTGCTCCCCCAGGCATGGCAGGAGCCTCCCTCTTGCTGCAGCTGCCACCCATGGAACCATATTCCAGCAAACATGGCCCTGATGCGATGTGTCCCTCTCTGCTCAAATGAGTCTGGTGGTCTGTGGGGGGAGAGATTTTGGGGTTACAGTCTCTCTCCCAGCTTTCTCTCCTGCTGCTGGACCTGCCCTCACTACCCAGAAGTGGTGCATCCTGTCCTATGATGTGTGCTTGTCCTAGTTAGGACAGCTGAGACCAGTTCATCATGGTGTGGGTGTAACCCAAAACTGTGTATTCTATAGCCTTCCATGCCATTTCCCAGAAATTGTTAGCAGTAGAGGCCTGCAAGATAGGAAGATGTTCCTGTCCTCATACCCTTTTATGGAATTCCCCGCTCTGAGGGAAGGACTGAGCATCCTCACACCCTTTTATGGAATTCCCCGCTCTGAGGGAAGGACTGAGAATTCCTGCCTGAACTGGAGAATATATAAACTTGGAGTTTTGGAACCTTTTTACCACTCGTGGGATCCAGAGGAAGACTGCAGCTCACCGCTCTCAACCAGACTGAGACCACCACCCTCAACTAGACTGCAATCACCACTTTGACCAGACTGCAACAGCACTCTTGACCAGACTGCAACAGCACTCTCACCAACAGGTTTTCCCCTCACTTTTCCTTTGGACTCAGGGGGCCCAAAGAACACCACTCTGTTCATTGCCCCAAGGTGCTGGGTTATATATTTGGGTTTTGTGGATTAAAACCAATTGTTTGTCTGTATAATTGTACTTATTGTATTATTTTATTAAATTGTTATTCTGACTTATAATCTCTCTTTTGAGTTGAGTTCATTTCCCCTGCTGGTTTACCTTTAAACCAGCACAGTGCTTCACCTTCTTCAGGTGCAAAGGGCGCTGCTGAGCATGACAGTCCAGCTGTGGACATCTCTCAGGGTGCCAAGAGCTCTCAGTACAGAATCCTTCTTGCACAGCTGAGCACTGCGTGTCTGTGATGCTGCACAGCGTAGTGTCAGCGATCACAGAATCATGGAATGGTTTGGGTTGGAAGGGGCCTTAAAGATCATCTCATTCCACCCCTCTACCATGGACACAGACACCTTTCACTAGACCAGGTTGCTCCAAGCCCTGTCCAGCCTGGCCTTGGACACTTTCAGGGATGGGGCAGCCACAGCTTCTCTGGCCAACCTGGGCCAGGGCCTCCCCACCCTCACAGGGAAGAATTCCTTCCCAATATCCCATCTAACCCTGCCCTCTGGCAGTGGGAAGCCATTCCTCCTGATCCTGTCACTCCAGGCTGTTGTCCAAACTCCCTCTCTAGCTCTCTTGGAGCCCCTTTAGCCACTGGAAGGGACTCTAAGGTCTCCCTGGAGCCTTCTCTTCTCCAGGTGAACACCCCCAGCTCTCCCAGCCTGGCTCCAGAGCAGAGGGGCTCCAGCCCCAGAACATCTCTGTGGCCTTCTCTGGACTTACTCCAGCAGCTCCACGTTCTTGTTATGTTAGGGACCGCAGAGCTGGAAGCAGCTCTGCAGGTGGAGTCTCACCTGAGCAGGGCAGAGGGGCAGAATCCTCCTCTCATCTACTGCCCATGCTGTGGGAGGAGCCCAGGACACTGGAGGTTTCAGGGCTCTCAGCTCACATGGCTGGGCCATGTCTAGCCATGATCATGCCCACACCTTTTGTCCCTGAGGGTACAATTAATCAAAAGGGGATTAATTGTCCAGGTTCAGAAGAGTTCAGGTTGTCCTTTGGCAGGGTGCTTCCCCCTCAAGACCCTCAGAGATGCCCATAAACCCAGACCAGCTCACCTTGCCTACACAACATTTCACAGCCCCTGTGTCAGACCCTCAGGGAGGGAAGCCTCCCTGCTCAGGGAATAACCAAGAGGTTTTTCTTTAAATGAAAGAGATAATTTTCTCCCACTCTACTTGGAAAACTCTGGGAAGAGGTGAAGAGCTCACCAGGATGGGAAGAAGCAACAGCAGCAGGAAGCCACAGGGGTGGTTGCAGGAGAGCAGTGGGGAGTGGTGCGAGGAGTCAGCCCTGGGGGCTGCCGGGGCTGCGCAGGACATGGTACCTGGCCGTGCACGGAGATGTCAAAGCGGAGGCCATAAAGCTTCAGCAGGTTCCGGTAGAGCTGCCGCTGGGAGCCCCAGTAGTAAGAAGCAGTTCTGTGGGAGACATTGGACACACCTCAGAAAGCAGTGAGGGAAGTGGGCTGCCAGTGCCAAAGAATTGCTGGGGCTACCGTGTACCTGTGCACACCTGGTATCCTCCAGGTTGGGACCTGGGTGATACACGTGTTGCCACGACTCGCTGGCTGGCATCAGCAGTGGGGCATCTGCATCCCCTCAGCACCCAGTCTGGGAAAACACAGCTCCCAGTGCACCCAGTTCAGGTGTGGACAGCCAGAGAACCCTGCCTCAGGGAAGTAATGCCATGCATAGCTGCAAACACAGCAGATCTGCCATAGCATCCTGGTACTAACAGGCCCTACCCTGATTTACCATTTCCTATCGTCTTGGAATCACAGAACCATTCAGGTTGAAAAGCCCTCTAAGATCATCAAGTCCAACCCTTAACCCAGCACCACCATGTTCTCCACTAACCCACATCCCCAAGTGCCACAACAGCCTTTAAATCCCTCCAGGGATGGCAAATCCACCACCACCCTGGGCAGCCTCTGCCGGGCTGGACAGCCCTTTTTGTGAAGAAATTTTCCCAAATACCCAATCTAAACCTCCTTTAGTACAACTTGAGGCTGTTTCCTCTCGTCCTGTCTATTGTTACTTGGGAGCAGAGCCCAACCCTCACCTGGCTCCACCCTCCCATCAGAGAGTTGTAGAGAGTGAGAATGTCCCCCCTGAGCCTCCTTTTCTCCAGGCTGAGCCCCTTCAGCACCCTCAGCCGCTCCTCATCAGACTTGTGCTCCAGACCTTTCCACAGCTCTCCTGCCCACCTCTGGACATGCTTCAGCCCCTCAATGTCTTTCTTGACAGGAGGAGAGTCACTGCCCTGGTCCTGCTGCCACACCATTGCTGGTACAGTCCAGGTGTCCTTGGCCTTACCAACCTGGGCTCACGTTCACCTCCAGGTCCTTTTCTGCCTGCAGCTTTCCAGCCACTCTGCCCCCAGCCTGTAGCATTCCATGGCGCTTTTGTTGCCCAAATGCAGGACCCGGTACTTGGCCTTGTTGAACCTCATACCACTGGCCTCACCCCATGGATCCAGCTTGTCCAGATCCCTCTGCAGAGCCTCCTGCCCTCCAGCAGACCAACACTCCCACCCAGACTGGTGAACCGAGTGAAGGTGAGTTTGCAAATGACACCTGCAAACTGTGCCCCATCAGAGCACCCATCAGAACTGAGATCTCAAATGACTGCAGTGTGCTCATCCCACAGCCCCATGTGGCCACTGTCCCAGCATCCTCACCTGAAATTGTACCTTGTGTCCTGCAGGCTGAAGAAATACTGTGGTTGGCACTGGGCAGCAGGGTGGTCCAGGTCGCAGTCCCACTTGATGAGAACTCCAATGCTCCCCCCCTGCAAAACACATTTTACTCCAGGAGAAGCACGGGATCAGAAACTGGCTGAGTTCTTTACTGTTCAGACATTCCTAGATCATACATTCCCTTAGCATTTCAGGGTCAGTCCTGTCCTCTGCCTCTTGCTCACATCCTTGGGGAATTTTGAGTCATCTTCCATACTTCTATAAAAACCAAGTACCAGCAGTGCGAGGTCTCCGAAGTGCTCTCCAGCTGCCTCCACCATGTTACGTACACGGAACACAGGACAGGAGGGATTGAAGACTGGATCATATGTGCAGCTCTTGAAATAGCTGGGGTCACTGGTTTGTAAAGTGTTGCACCTGAGACAGCAGGGGCGGGGGGACAGAGTGTGGGAGGTCATAGAGCCTGTCTGTGGGACTGAAAAGGGGACCCTCCTGCTGGAGTGAGCCCCCCAGTGCTCTCAGTGGGGGGAAAGTCATTGCCTTGCCTAAAGCCTCAGATGGAGAGAGGGTGGAGTAAAACCATCCCAGAGGAATCACAGAGAGTATTCATCTTTCATAGCATCTCCCATAGCCTTCCCCTGTACCTCCCCGTGTTTCTTCTTTCTCCCCCAGCACCCAGCTCCCACTCAGCTCGACTCAGTGCTCCAGGGGTGACAGCAGGGACAGTTCAGCTGCCCCACACTGCATCTTCTGCCAGGGTAAGGCAGCACAGTCAGCATGCCTGGGGCTGCGAGGCCAGTGCAGCCCTTTACCCGGCTTCTGTGAAACCACTTTGCAAGGACTAAGGCAAAAATATCAGTCTCACTCCCTGGATGGCCTAGTCCAGCTTTCTGCAGTGTCTACATGGGCATGACCAGTCCCTCTCTCTGAGTTGTCCCCATCCCACTGCTTTTACAGCTGCACACATAGGGTGTTCACCTGAACATCCATCCTGCCTGTAACTGCCCAGCACCACCTGTCCTGGGTGGCACATGGCTTCACATAGCCTCAGGTGCTCAGCCCCACGACAGGTAGGCTCAGTGCTGAGGCTGGACCAGGCTCAGGCTGGCTGGGAAGCACCGTACTTACTTGGAGAAGTTAAATTTGGTGAAGTGGACAGTGTTTTTTATAAAGAGAGTGAAATTCTCTGCCTCAGCCAGAAGAGGTTTCCTGGAAAACAACCACCAATGAACTCAAGTCTTGCACAGTGGTCAAGGCACAGCCCCATTCCCCAAGCTCCACAGTCTCATCCGCAATCCCAAAATTTTGGCCACAATGGACAGCAGCAAGAAACGCTCTTGCGTAAAGTTCTCTGACCTTAACTGACTGGGAGACTGATGTCAAAGGTCTCCCTGAACACAGCTGCCCTTGGGCGAGTCTCAGGGTCAGGCTCCTGGTTAGACAGAGGGAAGAAATCAAAGCTCCCAATACCTGCTATCCCCTTATCTGTGATTACCTGGGCAGGGTACTGTTCTCCACAGGACACCAGCCATAGATCTCACAGGTGGAACGGGTGGCATTGAACATCACACATTTCCCAGTTTTTATCCCTAAAAATGAGAGAATGTAAGATAGGCTGAGAGAGTTGGGGTTCATCAGCCTGGAGAAGAGAAGGCTCCAGGGAGACCTTAGAGCCTCTTCCAGTGCCTAAATGGGCTCCAAGAAAGCTGGAGAGGGACTTGGGACAACAGTCTGGAATGACAGGACAAGGGGGAATGGCTTCCCACTGCCATAGGGCAGGGTTAGATGGGATATTCTCCCCTGTGAGGGTGGTGAGGCCCCGGCACAGGCTGACCAGAGCAGTTGTGGCTGCCCCATCTCTGGAAGTGTTCAAGGCCAGGTTGGATGGAGCTTGGAGCAACCTGGGCTAGTGTCCCTGCCATGGCAGGAGAGTGGGACTGGATGAGCTTTAAGTTCTCTTTCAACCCAAACCATTCTAGCATTTTATGTTTATTAAGCAAAACTCCCAGTACCATTGCCATGAACCACAGGGTTTCCCATGGGACAATCTGCATCTTCTGTGCACATCGCGTCAAGGACAGAGGGGCTCTGGGAGGGACAAGAGACAAGTGCTGTCATTGTGCTGTGCAGCCACCTGAGGCCATGCTGTCACTCACCCCCATTGCTGTGCCTCTACTCCTGTTTCTCCAAGCACTTCCCAAACAGTTAAAGACCATTCACCATGTCCAGACCCTGGACAGCCTCCAGCCAATGAGGAGAGAGGCATGTCTGAGGGACAATCCTTCCCGCCTGTCTCCATGCTATTGGGAGCACATGTCTCCTGCTCCTCAGAGGCAGAGGAATTCTCCAGAGCTAACTCAGACCTTTCAGCTGGAACTGGGAACCAGCATGAGGGCCTCAATGACTGAGCCCATTAAGCACCTTGTAAAGCACCACAACAAATGACCTGGGGAAGAGCTTAGTAGACCTAAATCCAGCATAACACAAGTTTTACAAGAGACAGGGAAAGCTTCACCCTCACTCTGGACCTACCTGGTTCCCAGGAGCAGTAAAAACCTCTTATTCAAACACAGAGAGATGATGGCAGGTGGGGGAATACCACTAACACCTTCTCCAGCTACCCCAGGCCATGGCAGGAGTCACTAGCCCATTAGAAACCCACCTCCCCAAGACCCAGGGGGCACAGAGGCTCAAATGCAGGCAGGAAACCCCCAGTTATGGAGTCAGAAGAAGTGGGGGTCTGTCCAGGCCTTCCCAGGGCTGCCACAGGACAGCCTCAGCCTCTTGTTTAGGTGTGAAACCCACTAACGTGAGCTAAGAGGAGCAGCACCTTTGGGCTGGGTGGGGGCTCGCTGCCTAGGGGTATAGAGTCATTATGGGATGCAGGAGAACATTTGGGTATTGCACAGGTGTTTTAGGGGATGGATTGTTTAGGGAAGGAAGAGAAGGCATGGAAAGGAGGGAACTAGGTGGTCTGAAAAGGAACAAACATTGGAAAATAGAGGGATAAAAGGATGCAAGGAGTAACTGCGTGTACAGCTGCTAAAACAGCTCGGCTTGTGTTTGATGCTGCTTCTGGCCCTAGACACACTGATCTGCCAGCACTGAATACTTTGGTCATCAAGAACAGTCAGAGAATATTCAGACTGCTCTAACTCCCCGCAAAGCCAAAAGCTGTCACTGCTAAATCTTCAAAGCTTTTCAAATATGAATGTCACCTACAGCCTCAAAGCCAGAACCTGGGGAGATCAGCATGGGGTGCAGGCTGGGACAGGCACCCACACACACTCCAGCACTGGAACGGGACGAAATCCTCTGCTCTCTGTGCCCTTGGCTTGCACACTGCAAAACTAGCACCGAGAGATGCCTGTGGCTGCCTGTGAGAGCCCTAAAATGCCCTACAGCACTTGTCTTCCTCCCTGTCAGGACTTCAGGGGTTGTCAGCATTTTAAAGATGGATCATTAGTGCCATTTTCCCTGTCCCAAAACCAGGGTTGCTCCTCCTCTCCCACAGCATCTGGCCACAGCAGGAGCTGAAGGGACCATTAGGACAATCAGTGCTTGGCTCAGGCACAAGGTGCCAGGAGCGGCTCAGCTTAAAGGACACTTGCTCCCATCTACCAAGCCAGGTCCAGCCTGGGAGAGCTCAGCGGAGGGAGCTGGCCTGACCCCAGTCTTAAAGGGAAGACTTCTCTCAGAGAACATATACCACTAAGTGTTGGCTGGCTGGGAAACCACCTAGACCTTGTGTTTTGTTCCTCCTAAAAACAGGATGCTAAGATGGATATTAGTCCTGCAGCAAGGAGTTATCAAGAAAACATGACACAGGTGTCCATGGACTGTGTGTCAAAGTATCCCCTTGTTCGAGGGCAGTAGAAAGCCTGGAATGGTCATACAGTGCCACCACCCAAGGAGCCCAGAGCTGGTGAGGCCCCAAGTGTCCTTTGTCCTGGTCACCACAAGCAGTTCTGGCCAGAGAGCATGGATATACACCTTGGCTCATGCAGGCATGACAGAGCAAGTGCAGATGAGCATGGAAGAGCTATGGAGCAGTGCGAATGAGGGGAATCAGGTTTGTTGGGAATATAAATCCATTTTCCCCTTTTATCTGGTCTTCCTCTGGGTTCCACCGAGGAGCAGGACAGGTGGCTCCATCCACCACCCCCTGGGGGCCGGGCTGGGGCAGCCCTGGCACTCACCTCGGGACAGGTGCCCTGGGCCTGCTGGGCTGTGGCAATGAAATTGGTCACCAGAAAAAGCACATTTTCTCCCTGGGAAGCAAGAAGGTACCATCAGTGAGGAGGGTGACACCAGGGTGGGTCCAGGGGATATCCTGTGACACTGTTACCGGGAGGAACAGGCAGTAATGGCCACGTTTGGGCTTTGGGAGGCCAATGGTACCGGCGGCGTTCCCTTGCCAAGGGGATTGACCTCCTATGTGCCCCCCCCTGCCCCCGCCCGGGGCCCGGCCGTACCTGCGGGGGCCAGGTGAGATCCGCCGCGTCCCAGAGCCGCCGGCCCGCGGCCCCGGCGGGAGCCGCCCCCTTCACCTTGGTGACTACGGCGACACGCGGGGCCGCGTCGCGCTCCTGGTACCCCTTCCGCAGCAGCAGCACCCACCTTCCGGGGGGAGGGGGGGGGGGGGCGGACGCTGAGGGACCCCCGGCCGCCCCCCGAGGGCAGGGGCAGGCATCCCTACCCCAGCAGGAACCCCCGGCCGCCCCCCGAGGGCAGGGGCGGGGAGGTCCCTACCCCAGCAGGAACCCCCGGCCGCCCCCCGAGGGCAGGGGCAGGCATCCCTACCCCAGCAGGTAGCCCAGCGCGCTCAGCTGCAGCAGCCGGTGCAGGAGCCCCACCCGCCGGTTCCGCGTCAGCGAGAACTTGGCCGTCTTGTAGTCGAGCAGGAGCCCGCAGGGCGAGCCCGGCATGGCGGCACGGAGGGGGAAAGGCGGGCACGGAGCGGGGACAGAGGCCACGGGGTGCGGGGTTGGCGAACACCCGCGAGGAACTGAGGACTCGGCGGGTGGGGGCACCCCCGGCACTGCGGCTCGGCCCGCCCCCGTTGCCATGGCAGCGGCGCGGCCCGGCCGGAGATGGCGGCGGGCGGAGTGGGCCGCAACGAGCTGGGCGGGCCGTCCCCTCCGTCACCCTGAGCCCGAACCACAGCCACACAGTCACTGAGGGGTCTGGGTTGGAAGGAACCGTAAAGCCCATCCAGCCGCACCCCCTGCCACAGGGAGGGACACTTTCCGCTAGACCAGGTTGTGTTTTATAATCACAAGGTCATGGCCATGCTTCTGTTTAACTGTAAATATTTTTGAAATTAGAATTCCCACTGACAGAGAGCAGGATTCTGGGAGCAATACAGGCTTCAATGTCAAGGTCAGGATTCAGAGCATCTGTAAGTAAACTAAAGGGGCACTTTCTCTGGGTGTACTCACGGACTGCCGCATAGAAGTGATGCCCGGAGAGGTACATTGTGGGGCACAGTGGGCCACAACCTTTTCCATTTCCTCTGCATCATGAATAGTGACAGCAGAAGTATTTTTCATCATTTTTATGGGAAGATAAATTAATCCTTTAGCAACATAAATTAAACTATATCCAGTCTTGTCTTTCCTAGCAAAGCTTGAAATTATTTTTGAAGGGGAATCTTGTACTTATGTACACCCTTGTCAGCCTGTGTTTGGGGACTCCCTTTGCTAGTGACTTTGACTATTTCTTTTCTTGTTGGTCTCAACCTTGTTACTGCATAGTGCTCTTTTCCTTTGGCTCCTGACTTTAAGCAGCTGTTATTTAATTCTACACCCTTGTGTTCATAGCACTCCTGTGTGGTGAGATGAAACTCAGCTACTGCTCCCTGGGCCTTTGTCAGCACGGGTGTCACCAGGCTCACTTGTGCTGTGATGAACTCCCCATCCATTCCTCTGGACTCTCCACTTGTGCAGAACATGCCTAGGGAGGTCATGGCTCATCCCTCACCTTTCAACCTTTAGGCTTCTCTCCTTCTTGCACCTTCCTGTCACAGACTTCACCTTCTCCATCTACGGCTGTCCTTGGGCAACCCCAGACGTGTATCTCCAAGAGGAAGATTCACAAATCTCCCTACTCCTGGTCTCACCCTGCAGCTGTGCTCCAAATCTCTCTACTTCCAGCACTGTCTGTGATGGGCACTCTCATAGTTTGAAATTGGCCCCCCCTGAGAAGCTGGGGGGCTCAGAGGTGATTGAGTGCCAGGGCAGTGTTCCCTGGAGAGCCAATCACCACTCATGTTGTTTGCTTCTGCTCAAAACCATATATCACAGCACCGGAAGCTGTTGGCAAGTTCTGTCTTGGTTGTTTTGCTGTTGGTGTCTGCTGCGGGTAGGTGGACAAGGCCGGGGGGTGGCTGGGCTCCCTCTCTTCCCCCTCCGGGGGGGAGAGGGGAGCCCTGCAACCCCCCAGCTCAGCCTTTGGCTAGAATTATTAGAGTCAGCATTTGGAGTGTGTGCTGTGAAGGAAGAGATTCACAGCACCTGAGGTAAGAGGAGAGAGGCAGGCTTTGCAGCCGAGCCCTCTTCCCCCTCCTTTTCTGCAGTGAAGCTGTAGAGGGGGGGCTTTTTCTTTCCCTCCACTGTAAGTGGAGGAGAGGCTCAGAATTGAAGCTGAGCTAAGAGAGTGGGCCGTGGAGGTAGGCCCAGCACTCGGGAGAAGAGTCCCAGATGAAATTGGAGACGAGCCCAGAGCTCGAGGGTTGCCTGCCGAAGCTGACCGGGGGCAGCCGAGAACTGATGTGGAGGAATGAAGATTCCAGGATGTGGACGCTTGATAAACTAAGCTACACTACAGCAGCTTACGAACTGAGGTGAGACACCGAGAGGGAGGAATCACCAGCAACAGAAGAGCAAGGACTCAAAGCTATCTTCTCAGACTTCACGAGGAGGAGAGACTACAACAAACAACTGCTGGAACTTGGTGAGGGGGGAGTGTTCAGGAGCTCAGAACACTCCCACAGCAAAAGACTGTGTTACATGTCAGCCTTAAAGGCTGCTCCTGGACTAAAGTTAAAGGAGGGGCTTGAAAGGACTGACTGATAGTAATGTAATATATATATATAGTTGCCTTTAGTTTGTATAGTATTTATTTGTGTAAATAAATGTATATACTTCCCCCTTCCCCTACAGAAGCCTCTGGCCTGAAAGGTTCTCTCCAGTGTTAGGATAAATTGTTGAGAAGGGGTGGGGGAAGCCTAAAAATTGGATTTTAGATTTCTAATGTGGCTCAAACTGCCACAGGCGCAAACTCAGAAAGGAAGATACTGAATTTTTTCTCTTCCTTGCCACACCTCGTGCTGTCTGCCAGATCCATGTTCTCCCTGGTTTGTGTCTTTCGTGCAAAATTCAACGTCCTCTCCATCCACTCCCTTACAACCCTCAATCCTCATGCATCTCACCCGCTATAGCTTCCTCCTTGAACATCCTCCATGTCTTCAGTGGGCTTCTCTGGCTCACAAGAAAGACAACAACCTTAATCCTCATCGCTTCTGGCCATCAGCTGTTCACTTGGCATCCTTCCCAGTTTCATTCTGCTTTTTTTCCTTATGTTTACCTTTGGAGGCTGCAGTGGCTGCTTGTCTCCACTCCTGTCCGCCCCACCTCCTGTTCCTTTCACAGTCCAACAGTTCTCCCAAGTCTGGTATTCAAGCCTGGCAATGTTTTCCTTTTCTTCTGTGCTGGTTGAACCCTCATTTCTTTCCTGCCCCACTGGAAACTTGCAGAACACTTGCTGAGGAAACCTATTCTGATTTCCAGGGGCTCTGGGAGGGGTTAAAGAGAGCAGAGCTGGCTGCTCTGCCAGCAGAAACAGCTGGCGGGAGGCTGTGGGAGCTGCCTGGTGCTCATGTTGGCTTTCAGGCTTTGTTAGGCTGGAGAAGGAGCTGGGCAGCCACAGCTGCATGCAGGAGCAGCAGCCCCCAGCTTTGTCATGGCGATTGGATTTTCAGTCTTTGCTATGTTGGCAACCCGAGGTCAGAGAACACAGATGATTCGCTGGCAGCTTCTGCTTTGAGTTTGTGGTAAATGAGGTAGAAAAAGAAATAATATGTTGTAGTTCTAATTGCCTAGAGGTAATAGAGACAGTTGCAGAGAAACAGTTGAACTAACTCAATCTTCCTTTTAAACTCAATACTTTTAACTCTTAAACTGTTTGGTTTCATGTATTTTTTTCTTCAGGAAAATTTTTGGAACAGCAATAGCAGAAAACACTGGATTAAAGAAACTTAAAATCAACTAGAACCATTTCCATAGTCAAGGGCAGCTGCCTTGGCCAAAGGCTTGGAGGTGGAAATTGTTTTCACTCCTGTTTTTAAACTCTGAGAGCTCATATGAAGCTCATCTGTTTAAACAAGTGGGAATGCCATGATGTGCTGTTGGCCTTGTGCCTGTCCAAGAGCCATCAATGACCCAGGATCATACAGACCTTGGAACTAAGAGAGAAAAATCATCCAGTGTGTTGACATATTGCCTTTCTCTGTTTCTAGTTTTTCCTTTTTTAGAGTCAAAATTACTATAATGAATGTTTTGAATTATTTAATTTCTAACTGATACATGAATACAGAAATTGTTTTGTAGTCTATATACAGTTCTTATTCTATTAAAATTTTACTCATTAAAATAAGAAACATTTTTTCCAGCCTCTCAGGCTGAAAGGGGCTACTGAGGTTAGTGGTTAGTGGTGAGTTGGCAGTGCTGGGTTAATGATTGGACTCGATCTTACAGGTGTTTTCCAACCTAAATGATTCTGCGATTCTATAAGATTTATCTTCTTTATTTGAAAATAATGCTATGATTTACCTAGTGAAGTTTGTCCAATAAATGTGTAAATCATTTTATAGTTACATATCCAGTAAATCAAGCCTGTACCTTGGACTCACATCTCTCTGTCCACACCATTTGGAGGGGTCTTTTGCGTGTTGTCAGGTCTGTTAATCTAGGCTGTCTCTGTCAGAATCATCCTGCCACCCCCTCGATCTCCAGATGAAAACTGCATGTATTGAACACAGAAGCTTTATGGGCCTTGATTTAAATCAGTGTAAGTACTTATGTTTTAAAATACTTGCTCACCATTTATTGTTTCTGTTATGTCCTTTGCCCCTAGTCCTTCCTGTGCTGTCCAAAGAAGAGATGCAAATTAAAGTCCTATGAAAAAATACACCAAGGAGAAGATCCACTTGGCTCTGCCTTGACACACATGGATTCATTAGTCACTGAAGTCAGAGCTGGGTGGTTTTAGGCTCAATATACCTATCAGCATACCATTTAGGAACCTAAAAACACCAGGTAAGCCAGCAGTGTTTTACAGGGCGATGTCCCTGGATGTTGAGCATCCAGTTCTCCTGTGGGTTTGATGAGGTCAGGAGGTGGCTGAGGGAAAAGGAGCGCATGCCTGCTCCGTGCACAGGTGGGATCTGCCCTCCATAAGGGCTGCCGGGAGAAGTGGGAGCAGGCAGCTGGAGCAGGTTTTGTGTGGGAAGTTGGAGGGATTTGATGTGCTTTGGCAGCTGCTGCAAAAGGTTGTGGGGAATTAACATGGAGAGTTACACTGAGAACTGTAGTTCTGTTATACCAGTTATTCCCAATTTTGCTGGTGATCTCCCCTGCTGGAATCTCAGTTCCTCTTTCCACAAACTCAGTTGTGTTCTCTTTAAGTTGCAATAACTCAACAGAATATTTTTTGAGTCCCCTGTTCATGAGGGACTCAATGGTTCCAGTACTGAGCCTTTTTTTCTGGTCCAAGTGTCAATTCCATATTTTTCCTTTTTATTTTCTTTACGTAAATTGCCAGGTAGCAGTTGGATGCCTCTTGAAGGTGCTATAGCACACCAGCACTGCTGCCTCTTTCCAGGCTCCTCTCTCCATTAAAGCACAGAGGTTACACAAATCCATATTGATTGCCACTAATGGTATTTTTTTCCTGAATTCTTGAGCAGCTCTCACTTTGCTCAGTGGCCTTTTGAGGCCTTGACTCTCCTTGCTGCCCATCACTTAGAATATCTGCCAGCTTGTTTTGCTGCAGCACTCTGGGACTGCTCCAGCTGCCTGTTTCTGGAAAATGAGCATTATTACTCCAGGGAAGCTCACTGCCTGATTCCACGTGAAACTCCTCTGGTGTAAGTTACATAGGTGATCACAAAGTTTTAGCTGTAGAAGCTACTAACAAGTGTGTTTGGAGTCAGGGCTAGGCAGCAATCCTGCAGTGTGGCTCCAGCTGCTCCCCACACACAGAAAAGGGGTTTTTTGTGCTTTCTGAGCATTTTTCTTGAGGACTTTCATGTCCTTTAGGATATCAAGCATGCTGCCATGCCCAGAGGCGCCTTGGCTCTTGTCCCAGCAAGGATTGAAACCCACAGTGCTGCCCTAAAATGCTTCCAGTCTAGCAAGGGAAGCATGGGATCATGAGAAATCAGCCATCCTGGCTCCAGAGGAACTGCAACCCCTTCCCTCTGATGGACGACTGATGTTTCCTAACCTCAGACCAAGCTGTCATTGCCTCAAGAAGTGTTTCTGATCTCTTGCCTAAATCTCCCTCATGACAGTTGCAGTCCGTTGCTTCATGCTGTGTCTCCTGTGCACATGGGGAAGATTTGTTCTCCTTTTATAGAATCTGTAAGGTTGGAAAAGACTTCTAAGATCACTGAGACTGGTGTGTGCAGTTTTGTGTCTGCGTGGTGTGTTACATGTGGGGAAATGGGCTTTTCCTTCTTTGTTCCCAAAGTGAATGCAGTGGATGCATCTGCTGTTGGAACCGAGTCTGCCACCGGGACAGGCCTGCACATTCCTGCTCCTTACAAAGTGTGGTGAGTCAGAGAAGAGCCGTGGCCCCAGAGCAGCCTGGCTGCCGGGACTGCTGAGACACAGCACAAAAATTCCCGGAATGATTTGTGGACCCGCGTGCTTGAGCACCTGCGCGTCGTGGAGGGATGAGGGGAAAACAAGACCATCTTGGTCTGTGCCATCTTTTAATGCTCTGCCATTCCCCGGCCGGCAGTAGGAACAAGATAGACCGCTACTGGTAGTGTGATGCTTACCTCATCCTGAGGCTGTGTCTGCAGGAGGAGGAGGAGGAGGAGGGGAGAATGGCAGGGATAATGAGAGGATTACTTACAGCCAGCCTCACCGAGCCGCTCGTCAGTGCTGCTTTCAGAGCCGGGGCGGGGGGGGGTGGGGAACGGGGAGGGATAGTTTAGGAATGTGAGGATGGGAAGTGGTTTAATTAGGACATGGAGCTGCTCTGTCCTGAGTGCCAGTCCACCACTCCCTTCCAGTGCTCGGGGCTCCCCTCCTCCTCCCTCCAGCACAGACAGGGCTCAGCTATGCAAGTGCATCAGTGACTGCTTATTCCCCTGTGACTCCTGCTCTCCTGCGCTTCCCCATGCAAGAGCCCAGGGACCCCTGCGGGTCCCACTGCCCAGTGATCCCTGTGGCTCCCACAGCCCAGTGATCCCTGCAGCTCCCATGGCTCCCATCCCCGGGGCTGTGTGGGCAGCAGCAGTGATCCTGTGTGCTGAAGCCTCTGAAATCATCACGAGCTCAGTTCTTATGGCCATCCCTGGAGCCATCTCCGAGTTGCACCCAGGGACGAGGCTGAGGGCCATGGGCTCAGTCACTCACTGCCCTTTAAAGGGGGTGGGTGGCAGCCCCAGCATCGATTTTCTCTCTAGTACAAATCCCATGTTATTCCCCTCTGGATTTGCGTTTCTCCTTGTCTCCTTGCACCTGCCTTATGGGACAGGGCACAAAAAACCGGCATTGCCCTGGTAGCTACTCTCCCAGTCTTCTCAGACCAGCAGCATCACTGGCAAGGCTCAGCCATCCCCAGCTGCTGCCTACCCACTCCCACGCTGTCCATGGGGATTATCATCCAGGGCTCACATTAACCCTCTTAGCCCAGCTGGAACACGTGTGCCAGAGCTGCTCCTGCCCCATGGCCCCTAAAGCCTTTCTCAGTTCCCAGAGCCCCAGCACCAGCCACTCCAGCACTGGCCTGCGTACTTCCCTGCAGCTCTGGCATTAGATTGATTTCCTGCAGCCTGATTACACCATTGCCCAGAAAACAGGACTTTATTTCTATTTTTAAGCTAATTTGGAGAAAAGTACTGCTCTGGAAAACAGGTGTATGATCAGCACAGGGAAGCAGTGGCTGCTTGAAATGGAGTTCTGGGAGCTGCACATGGGGATGGTTTAGTTTTAAATCTGTTTGGAATTGGAGGTACCATTTGGGGAGATGATGTTTTCTCTCACGTTACAGGCTGCCATCTTAAAGCCCTGCTGATGCTGTTTAGTTTGGATTTATTTTTTTCCCTGCTGATACAATTTTTAGGCACAAATCCCTGCTGGAGAGCTGCTAGGGTGCCAGTGGCTGCTGTCACCCCCCTTTTTTTCTGTGTGCATTAATGAGTAGTCAGTTAAAAATCGATTTGTACACATTTTGTGCAGGGCATGTTACTGCAGTAGGATGGTGTATGACACATGAACCGACCAATTTTGTAATACTGTTTAAAAAAAACCAACACACAAGTGTGCTCAAGAGGCCCCACTGGCCTCCCAGGCACCTGGGAATTACGCTTCAATCCTTTAATTCCCCGCCAGTCCCCTGTCCCCATGCTGGCTTTGTGTGCTGTGGCCTAACAGCGATTTCTGTGCATTTTTACAAATGAATGATTTCAAATAGATTAAATATCGATGGTTGAAAGGCTCATTCAACAACTCTCTGGTCTTTGTCACCTTAAAAGGCTGACTGAGAACCCTGCTGGCAGAGCCCAGCCCTGGCAATATGACTGCCGTTGACTTTCCTCCACCGGGGAAGGATTAAAGTGTTGTGACCCTCAGCCCATCCTGCTCTGTGAGAACCTTCCTGCCCTTCCCCAGCCCCACGCCAGGCTCCCTTCTCCTGTTGTATCTCTGTGGTGCTTTCTACTTGCCTTTATCCAGCTGACAATGGACTTACTGCTGAGATTAAAACCCGAGTTTCTAAGGAGGGTTCAGCCTCTGCCTCCCCAGGTGTCTGTTGAACACTTGCTTTTTTAATGAAGAAGGACTTTGTTATCTCAGGAAAGAAACTTCTCTAGAGAAGAGCAGTGGTGGGGTATCTGTAGGTTATCGGTTAATTCCTGTTAATTGCACAAGTTGTCCCATCCCTTTGGCTTTAGTTACCCTGTCCCGCTGCTGCTCAGCATCGTCCTTGCTGTTCACAGGGGAGTCAGGCCCATCCGGGTGAGTATCAGTGTATTTGTGTACTGTAACGCTCAAGTCCCAGCCTATCCCAGCCCTGTGGGGTCCTGGTTTCTGAGGGTCTGGCTGGAGCCTTTCCCCACGCTTTTAAGGGGCTTTCCTGAGCATCAGCTGGGGAGCAGCTTCCCACCAGGAGTCTTGGGGACACAGAGCACAACAAGCCAGAGCCATCGCAGAACCAGTGTTTATGAGGGTGACCGAGTCAGCCAGTGCTCACAAGCCACGAAACAGAGGTGCCAAACAGGGCCACAGCACAGTGGGGCCGTGCTGCTCCGGTGGCAGCAGCGCAAGGGTGAGGCGGGACATGGAGCAGCGCCGGCAGACAGAGGGGTTCACCAGGGGCCAGCATATCCTACTGAGAATCCCCACAGCCTCTCTAGGCCCCTCCAGGGACTGGTCAGTGAGAAGCAATGGACCAGCCTGCCCACAGTCCCTGGCTCCTCACAGGATGCAGAGGATGAAAATGGAGCAAGGTGTCCATGATGCAAGGCCTGGCAGGTCAGCTCCACTGACTTCCAAAACATGCTGAAACCCCCCTCCCTTCTACTTTAGCCCAGCCATGGGCAAATTAGCCAGGACTGGCTGCAACAGTGTTGCTGGGGACCCTCCATGACACCCTTGTAGCTGGAGTGACCCCAGAACATGGGGATGATCACTGGGGAGGGAGCAACACTGAAAAGCACCTGCTGAGCTCGTCCCAAGCCCCAGAGAGCCTGGGAGGGGCATCATGGGGGGCTGAGCCCCTCGTGGTGGGGCAGGTGGTGCTGCTAGGGCACAGCAAAAGCAGGGAGCCAGCTCCAGGCAGATCAGGGATGCTGCTGGGGACCTCCATTGACAAGGCAACACATCTGGGATCCTGAGCACCCACAGCCCGTTCAGGGCTGGAGCAGGAGCCTGGCTATGGCATTACGTTCCAGCGGGCGTGGCCCCCAGCTCCCCCCGAAACGGGCAATTCCAGCAGCTGGGAAGATGCAGTTGAGTTGCTGCGTGCCAGCCTCCACTGGCTTTTCTGGGCCACCCACTCTGGCCATGTCCCTTCTCTACCTCCTCCACCACCGCCCCCTCAGTCCCAACCTTTGAGGAGAGCAGCCCTGGGGATGGGGATGGCGAGGATGGCAGGGATGGTAGGGATGCTTGTGGGGAGGCCCCTGCCTCCTTCTGAAGGGACTCTGAGGGAGGCAGAAGGGCTCCGCAGGAGGAAAGGGGGCTGCAGTCGGAGCTGCAGACAGGATGAGAGCCAGGATAGGCAGCGCTGGGCTTCCTGTCCCACTCCCCAGGGAACCTCTGCATCCCTGGCTGCATAGATGTGCCAGTGGACAGGAGGTGTGCTGCACAGTGCCAGGGTGCACTCGGGGAGAGGTGGCAAGGACACGCCTCCTCGTGAGTAGGGCAGGCACTGGGCTGAGACCCAGTTCCTGAGTGCAGGGGATGGGGGGGGGAGGGAGCTGTCCCCTCCACGTTCTGTGGGGAGCGTGTGGTAAGGGTGAGCATCCTCATCCTCTCCGGATGGAGCCCCACGCCCAGGGCAGCCCTGGTGGCTCTGCTGTCATAGGGACCAGGAGGAGGGGGTTTGGTCTCTGGCCTCACTGTGGGAGGGGGTTCCGATGCTCCCATCACCAGGTCCCCCCATCCCCTGGGGTGTCATCTCTTGCAGTCATCGGTGTCGGTGTCCGGGAGACCAGCAGTGGGCTGGGAGCTGGGCTGGACCGGCTGCACCCTCTCCTCCAGGCTGCCGCTGGGGAACACCACGTAGCGGGCGCTGAGGCGCTGGGGCCGCAGCTCCCGCAGGTTCTCCTTGCTGTGCCACATGCCGTAGCTGAAGTAGACGAGCAGGCCTGCAGGAGGGACAGGAACAGCAGCGGCTCCAGCACAGCCTGGCCACTGGCACAGTCCTGGCTGGCATCCCAGCAGCTGGATTACTCACCTAAGAGCAGCCAGACTGCAAAGCGGAGCCACGTCATGTAGCTGAGCTTCAGCATCAGGTAGATGTTGAGAATGATGCTCAGTGCCGGGGAGAGGGGCACCAGGGGGATCTGTGGGAGGAAAGGAGCCAGTGGGGCTGAGACCTGCAGGACCACATTTCTCATCCTTAAAATCATAAAGACAAAAGGCAGCACTGGCAAACATGGGAGACAAAGGGACTGTCACCCTGGAATTTCTAGAAGTGGCACTTTTTTTTAAGGTAAAAGGCAGGCAAAAGGAACAAGGGAGCCAGGAGCTGGGATTGAGGCTGACAGGGTCGGCACAGCCATCATCACAAGAACCAAACTCCTGGTGTGATCCAGAGCCAATGTGGTCCTTGCTGGAGAAGCCAGGGCAGGGGTATGGCAGGGAGGTGGTGTCACCACTGCTGTTACCATCCACATGGCTGCACTGACCACATCAGGGCTCAGATGGGCTGAAAACAGGAGACAGTGGCACAGAAGGCACAGAACAGGTTTGGAGGCTGAAGAGGAGCTCCATCACATAGCTGAAGGGCAGCCAAAGTAAGGAGTCCTTCTCCTTACTTTGTGGGGTTGTGGGGATGCAGAGGAGGGAGGCCAGGGTGGGCAGGAGTGATCCCATGGGATGGATACAGAGCTGCTGGCGATGTCCTCTCCTGGGGATCAGTGACCACAGAGAGTAACAGTGCAGGCTGTACCTGAGGCCCCTGTAGGCCCATGAGAGCTGCTCCAACCACCCCGACCCCTGCAGAGAGATTGTCCCTGCCTGGGCCCCAGGCATACCTGGAAGGTCTGGGTGCTGTGCTGCTGCTCGTGTGCCCAGATGAGGAGGAGGCTGAGCAGGAAGCCCAGGCTGAAGAGGACCAGCAGCAGGGAGTAGCTCCAGGTGGGCAGGTGGAGGTGGGTGTGGCCAAAGACCAAGATGGAGCAGAGGCAGATGGCAGACACCATCAGGGTCACCACGGCCACTGTGACCACCTCACCTGGGTAGAAGTCGCTGAGGAACTCCAGGTAGGGCTCAAACGCTGCCTTCAGCTGCCCTGGCTCCCGCTGCTGTTTGTTCTTGTCCCTGTCCACCAGCTGCAGCTTGTCGGAGAAGGACTCGTACTCCTTCAGCTCACCACTGGATGGACCCTCGTGGGGCTCGGGGTTGGGCCGGCCACCAGCTGCCGGTGCAGGGACATCCACCTTCTGCTGCTGGAAGCGCAGGACGATGATGCTTGCAGCCACAAAGGTGTAGGCCAGCAGCGTGCCAATGGACAGGAACTGCACCAGGGCCTCCAGGTCGAAGACAAGGGCCAGAAGAGCCATGAGCAGCCCGAAGACCACAATGCCAACAACGGGCACCTGTGTGCGGGGGTGCACTCGGGAGAAGATCTGAAAGAAGAGCCCGTCCTCAGCCATGGCATAGACGATGCGTGGCAGGGAGAAGAGGTTGCTCAACAGAACCGTGTTCATTGCTGAGGGACAGGCAGAAGAAGGAAGACCCCATCAGACCCAAACCCAAACTGGCTGGGGGGTGTTCCCAGCCCCCATGGTGAGCGGGGCAGGCAGCTCCCACCGCCACTGCCTGTACTCACCACAGATGGAGCCAGCGGCCACCAGAAACCCTGCCCAGGCATAGCCCCTCCTGTAGAATGCATCAGCCAGGGCAGAGTCAGGGTCCAGCGAGTGCCAGGGCACCATCAGTGTCAGCACAACTGACACCAGGATGTAGGCGCCGGTGGCCAGTCCCAAGGAGAAAGCGATGGCCCTGGGGACAGCCCTCTGTGGGTTCCTGGCCTCTTCGCTGGAGGCTGCGATGACGTCGAAGCCCACAAAGGCATAGAAGCAGGTGGCTGTGCCAGCCATGATACCTGACAGCCCATATGGGGCGAAGCCGCCCTCCTGGGTGCTCCAGTTCTTGGGCTGTGCAAGGACAAAGCCCATGATGAGGATGAAGAGGATGACGCCCATGCTGATAGCCGAGAAGACATGGTTGAGCCAGGAGGATACTTTGGCCCCAAAGGAGATGAAGGCAGTGGCTACCAGCAGGATGGCGGCTGCCAGGAAGTCTGGGTAGTGGGCCAGGAATGGCACCTCCCAGGCACCCACATGGGTCTCGGTGAAGTTCTTGATCTTGTGGTTGAAGATCGAGTCCAGATAGCCACTCCAGGCCCTGGCCACCGCGGCCCCCCCGATCATATACTCCAGCAGCACATTCCAGCCGATGAGGAAGGCCCAGATCTCACCCACGGACACGTAGGTGAACATGTAGGCAGAGCCTGTCTTGGGCACACGGGCTCCAAACTCAGCGTAGCAGAGAGCAGCCAGGAGTGAGGCAAAGCCGGCGATGATGAAAGAGACAATGACAGCGGGGCCAGCGATCTCCTTGGCCACAGTGCCTGTGAGGACATACAGCCCGGAGCCCACCATGCCCCCAATGCCCAGCAGCGTCAAGTCGATGGTGGAAAGGCATCTGTTGAAGGATGTCTCCATCATGTCATCCTCCAGGGTCTTCACTCGGTTGAGTTTCTGGCAGAAGCGGGTCAGGTCGGTGGAGCGGGGCAGCCATCTCGCCATCGTGGAGGCAGTGGGCCCTGCCTTCGGCAGAGTGAGAGGTCCTCAGCAGCGAGACCCTGCCTGGAGACCTGGCAGAGGGGCAGGAAGGGGTGAGCATCCCCTTGGCAGGGAGGTATCAGGTTCTGGGGACAGGGTAGAAGAGCCACTGGGCACATTCCAGGTGTCCCTCACACCTCAGCCAGTGTGGGCCTCAGCATGGAGCACATCTTCCTCCAGGGTGGTGGCACAGGACAGGGACCTGTGCCTGTGTGCAAGGTGGGAAAGAAATCACACCACTCCCAGGGCAGCATCTCCCAGTTAAAGCCCAAACCAGTCTACTCTGGCCCCGATGAAGGTTTCCTTGCTGCTTCTCCTCCACCTTATCCAATATCTACCTGATCTTCTCCCTGGTGTGCTGGGAACCCACCAAGGGGGCATGCAGAATCTCCCTCCTCCCAGGATCCCACTGACGCCCCAGGGAAAGCCCAGACAGGCTGCAGGGGCTGCAACAGGAAGTCCAGAGCAGCTTCAGCGAGGACGTGTGAGTCCCCTGACAGACCAGGAAACAGCAGCATCAGGGATCAGCCAGGCTGGCAGCTTGCCACCATGACAGTTGGAGGACGCAGCTCTGGGGACCTTAAGGTGCTGCTTCCTGACTGCTCCACAGGCCAGTCGGTGACTTTGGGGATGCTCTCCCCTCCCAGCCGCCCTCTCCTGCATGCCAGGAGATGTGTCCCACTCCATCCCCAAGCCACAGGTCCTGCTTGGAGGGCTGGTGCAGCCCCGCTCCATAGGGGCTGTCCCAGAGGCCAAAAGGTCCTGGAAAGGCCAATGGGAGATGACGGAATGGCACTGGCCCATGAAGACAACAGGCACAATCCATGCTGGCTGACTCCCCAGCCCTGCACACCTGGGTCCCCGCGACTGGAGGGGTTGGCAGTACCGGGATCCCCAACCCCAACACCCCCAACAGGCGCAGCACACCCACTGGGCAACGGAGCATCCCCGGGGCTCGGGGTGTGGCCGTGGGTGGGAATCCTCGGGTTGGGGGGTGATCACGGGTGGGAATCCTCGAGTTGGGGGGTGATCACGGGTGGGGGACCCCTGGCCCGAGAAGGAGGGTGTGCGGGGGGTTCCGGATTCATCCTGGGCGGGGAGAGGCGATAGTTTCGCCCCTGCTCAGCCCCGCCGCGATGCCGGTCCCGGGCGGCGCCGAGCCCCGCTCCCGATCCCGGCCGTGCTCCCACGGGACGCTCCCCACGGTCCCGATGCCAGCCCGGCTCCCGGTGCCAGCGGGCCCCGCTCACCTGCGGGCGCGGGCAGGGCCCCGCGCGGCTCCGCTCCGGCCCTGGCCCACCTGCTCCGCCGCCGCCGCCGCCCGGCTCCGCCTCCCCGGGCCGGCGGAAGGGCGGGGGCCGGGCGGGGCGGGGGAGCGCCCGGGGCCGCGAGAGCTCTACGGGCGGCTCTGGTCCCATTCCCGGGGGTGTCTTCCCCCCAGCGGGGAGCACAGGTTGGGGGCATCGGGGCTGCACCCCCAGGCCCAGGAAGGGGCTGACACAGGGGGTCCCCAAGGCGCCAGGGTGGGTATTCCCACGGGGGTGTGTGCGGGGCCGGAGCCACACGGAAACGGGGCACAGGGTGGTTACGGAGATGCTCCGAGGCCTGGAGCCCCTCTGCTCTGGAGGCAGGCTGGAAGAGCTGGGGGTGTTCACCTGGAGAAGAGAAGGCTCCGGGGAGACCCTCCCAGTGCCTAAAGGCACTCCAAGAGAGCTGGAGAGGGATTTGGGACGAGAGATGGAGGAACAGGACAAAACAGGGAATGACTTCAAATGGACAGAGGGCAGGATTAGATTAGATGTTAGGAGGCAATTCTCTGTGACAGTGGTGAAGCCCTGGCCCAGGTTGGCCAGAGAAGCTGTGGCTGCCCCATCCCTGGAAATGTTTGAACCAGGTTGGCTGGGGCTTGGAGCAACCTGGTGCAGTGGAAGGCTTGAGTGAGATGAACTTTGAGGTCCCTTCCAATCCAAACCATTCCAGAATTCTATGATGGAGCAGTTATCCTAAATCTCCTCTGATGGATACAGTTCTGGATGGAGCAAAGGGCTGAGACCCTGCTCCTCTGCCTCTACTCGCTCTGCTCTGGAGATGCTGCCCAGAGGACAGGCCCCCCCTCCATGCTCAGGTGTTTGTCATGGAGAAGCAAATGTGGTGTGGGGAAAGTGGCTGGAGGGGCAGCAGTAGAAGGGAAGCTTCTGAACAGGCCCATCCAGCTCACAGTCCTGCTGCCCAGCCAGTGCCTGGGCAAGAGCACAAAACCTGAGCAAAAGCTTGTGTGCTTCCACCTGGCTCTGTAGTGAAGGGGAATCACCTCTCTCCATCTCTAAGTCAAAAGGTGTTTATTTTCCAGAAGTGCTTCACCTCCACTTGAACCAACACAAACCTTTTGCCTCTCCAGCCCCTCTCGGCAAGGAGTTTCCCAAGCAGTCACCTGTCCCACCCAAACCTGCCTGTTACAGGTGTCCTGCAATGCTCCCACTCCTCTGTCTGTAGAGAGCGAAGTTCCTCTCCGTGTGTGATATATAGTTTTATCTTTACCCTGTTCACTCTTGGGCCCCTTGTCAAGGATAAAGAAGTCCAGCTCAGCTGGAAGGTGTTCCAGAACCCTGGTGTCACCAGGGCCTTTGCAGGGCCTGTTCTTGGGGTGCCCTTCTTGGGGTGAAGGGATCTGCATTTGAGTGCTTCGCAGCAGCAAAATGTTTTCATTTTCTTCTCTGATCCCCTCCTTATGTCTCATCTGATTTTCTGATGGCATCTGAGCACTAAAGCTGACATTTCCATGGATCCAGCAGTCATCACCTCAAATGTCACCATGGACAACTTAGAGCCCACTGTGCAACACTGAGGGCTCCTAGCTGAATACATTCACTCTTATCCACACTGAACTGACCTCCTTACTTGGAGGGGACCTTGCACTCCTCGTCAGCCCAAAGTATAGGAAAAGGAAGCAGAAAACAGAACTTGTCCTTTCCTGCCACCCCTCACTCACCTTCCTACAGCTCCTGGGTGAACACGGGGCTGGCATGGGGCTGCACCTCTCCTGTCAGTCACCTTGTACCTGAACGGGGAACTCAATCCTCCGGTGCATCCCCTTGCCACGTCACTTCTGGCACACATGGAGCCCTGGGCAGGAACTTACAGTCCAGCTCTGTGGGTGGCTGAACCCAGCAAAGGGGCCCCCAAACATGGGTTCCTGGGGCACCGGCCAAGAGCTTGGGGGCTGCACAGGTCACTGAACCAAGGAGCTGAGACAGCTGAAGCCCAGTAATCCTGGGCAGCACTTCCAGCCCCTTTGGGTAGCTCTCACCAGGTCTTACCTGTGTCACTGGCAGTGCCACAGCTTTGCAGTGGGATGGTGTCACCCTCTGCTGACACAAACAGCACTTGCTTAGAAAAATATCTGTATTCTCCGTGTTGTACTGCCCAGCTTCGGGGGACTGAGCAAGTGTTCATCTGCTTAAACCCTGCTGACCTGATCATGAGCCATCCCAGGTGCTTTACTCCCTTAGTATAACGCTGCCCAACAGTTACCACCACTGACCCCCTGCAGCTCTCTACCTCGACAAAAAGCCCTTCTGAAACCCAACCTGACCACAGGCATGGAAAATTTCAGCTTGGATCCAATCAGCTGCCTGGCAGAGCCATCCGAAGCCAGATGGTGGAAGCAGGAAGCCTGAGAGCTGCTGTTGTCATGGCAGTGCTGGAACAGCCGCCGTGATTCCCAGCACTGGCTGCCCCTGGAGAGATGGCAGCAACCAGCAATCCCAGATCAAGGTGGGCTCCAGTCCTCGCCCCAAAGGGCAGCGCAGTGGGGCTGAACCCACCAGCAGTAGCCCCAATCCAAGCTTCTCCAGCCACACCATTGCTCTGCTGCTGCTCCAGTGATTCCAGAGCACTTGTGTCAAGGAAGGGGGGAACTTCTAGGAGGCAGCATGACCCCCAGCATCTGGGCATCCTTTCCTGTGATCATTCATCCCTGCTTTCCTCATCCTCACCCCGGGAAGCAATTTCCTTGCTAACAGCTCTGGCCACGAATCTGAACACAGATGCTGACTTCACTTGGTCAAGAACCAGTGAGTACCATGTATTCCCACAGGATGAATAAGATGTCTCCAGAGGAGAATGTTGTCCACCTTGCCCGTCACCATTTCAGCAGTGGAGTGCAGGGCTCCCATCTGAGGATCCAGTGGCAACAGTTCCAGGTGGTTTGTGGGGACCCTGCAGTGGTGCAGGACCCACACCAGTCCACTTTCCAGCTCAGAATTTTCATTCAGGAGGTGGAGACCCCATACAAGCAGTGGGTCTTGTCTCCAGCTGCTGAACCACGGTAGCATCATCCCCACAGGGAACACCCACCCATGATGGAAATGAGAAGGGGTCTCAGTCCTGAATTTCCAAAAGACTCATTGGTCCTTGTAGCTCAGATCTTCCATGTTTGTCTCCTTCACCACCAGCTCCCCCCACAAGTTCTTCCAACACTCTGAAAGGTCTCAGAAACACTCCAGGTTCCTTCTCCGCTTCCATCTAGCACACCATGAGCCCCATACTCCTCACTGGGGATGGGACAGACCTAATCATAACCACTGGCATTCAGAAAGCTGCAACCCCAGAAGGCAGGGCAGAGCATTTTATTTCTCTCCATTTGGAAACTGGTTTAAAGGAACGAAGCAAAAGCTCTCCAGCCTTCTCTGCTCTCTGAGTCAGTGGGAACACTGCTAACATTAGTCCAGTAACACTGGGTGAGGCCTGAAATCCTCCTTTAATACAGATGATACTGGTACCTGCCTGGAGGAGGGTCTGTGAAGGGTCTGCCTGTCTAAGAGGCTGTTTCTCCTTCAATCACACACAGAAGCATCTTCCAGCAGATAAACCTTGGAATTGTTGTTTCCCCCAAGTTTTATTCATCTAAACACAGGGCCACTGCCACACAGCAGGTCTGGGTTTGCTGCCTCGGCTGGTCCAGCCCTGGCTCAGTAATGGCCTTAGCTACACTGCAGGATGTTCATGGCAGGTGAACATGCTCATCAGCTCCTAACTGAGCCAGATGCAACGAACACCTTGCTCTGATGACCAGAGAGGCAGCCTGAGGATCCCAATCCCCCTGTGCTGGGCTCTGCTCACCCCAGCTTTAATCTAAGTGCCCCAGCAAGTTCTTCTATACCCACAGCCTCTTCCTGACATGATACAAAGCAAATGCATGGACAGTTTGTCCTTTAGAGGGAAGTCAGAGGAAAAACTTTGGAAAGTGAATAGCAGATTTGCTCCTTCAGTAAAAAGCTTTCTCGGCCTCAGCTTCCTTCTGCTGCAACTTCCGAATCAGCTCCAGCAAATTCATCTGTAGAGTCAGCTCCTGCAAAGGGAAAGAGACATTTCTATAAGATGATCCCATTACCTACATTACCCATTACCCATTACCCTACCCTACCTTCCTGCTACAGGAAGCAGGAAGGACTGGCTTATACTCACCTCTCAAGAGCTACACATTTTAAGGGAACAAAAAAAACCAACCAGGCAAATAGAAACCAAAGGCTTCATTGTGTTTAAGCATTTCTCTAGAATATAGAGCAGTAACATTTTAGCAGACCTGCTGCAAAACCGTGGCTGTCTTAGGAAACCTAGGGCTTTCAGATTCCTTAAGGACTCAGAAATGCTCTTTCTTCTTGACTGTGATAAATGTGTAAGGGCCATGAGGGCTGGCCAGTTCTGCAGGCTGAGTAGGGGCAGTAGCATCCCCTTGCACCCGCACAGCCACATGCCCCAGAGGATGTTCTCCAAGTTCCTCCCCTCCTCCTTCAGCAGCATCTCCAACTCCCTGACCCTTTCCCAGCACAGAAGGGCGGGAAGACGAGGGATCGCTTTGGGTATCCTCTAAGTGGGGTCCAAGCCAGGTGCAACACATGGCTGTGCTGGTGCATCAAATTCCCTGCAGGCATTTCATTCCCCATCAAAAACTCCCTTTTCCATGACTGAGATCAAGTGGAGACACCATCTCCTGTAGTCACCAACATCAGCTTATGGTTCCTTTACCATTTGCTCCTTCTTCGTTATGTTTATCTCAGAGACAACACAGTGGAGCTGCTAATTCGTAAGCCCAGGGCTGTGACTCAGCCCTGCAGACATGATGCTATGAAAATAAAAATCTATTTTTGTAAAAATACATCCAATGCATAAGCAGGCATTTCATACAGACT